CTTCCACTCAGTGCTGTCAGGGAGCTTGCGCTGGACCCTGCTCACTGTCTTCATCGGGGTTGCCATTGCTGTGATAAAACACAGTGCCAAAAGCAGCTTGGGAAGGCACACGCTCAAGTTGTCTTATCCTCCAAGTGGCAGTTCATCACCGAGGGAAGTAGGGCAGGAGCTGGAGAGCAAGGAGTGTTGCTTCCTGGCTTGCTCCGCCTGCTTTTCTATGCCATCCACACCTACCTACCACACCACCCACAATGGGCTGGGCCCTCTCACATCAATCATTAATTGAGAAAATGCCACAGGCTAGCCCACAGGCCAATACTGTGGGGTCATTTCCTCAGCTCAGGTTCCTTCTTTCCACATGAGTCTAGCTGTGTCAAGCTGACGAAAGAACTAACAAGAATACTTTAATTACTTATTGGACAGGCTCTCACCATGTAACCCTGGCTGGCTTCAAACTCACAGAGACCCCCCTGCCTCTGCCTCCTGAGTGCTGAGATTAAAGGTGTGCCACCATGCCTGGCTACTTTATTATTTAAGTATGTGTGCACAAATGCACATGCATTTGTGGGTGGGCATCTGCAGAGGCCAGAAGAGGGGTCAGATCCTCTGGAGCTGGGGTTCCAGGCAGTTAGTTGTGAACTGCCTGATGTGGGTGCTGGGAACTGGCCCCTGTCCTCTGGAGGAGCAGCAAGTGCTCTGAACTGCTCCATTTCTTCTGCGGCAAACTTAACAGACCTGTCATCAGCCTCCCTTGCAGGTGTGGGTGAGGTACGGGTGGCCAGTGGCTACAGTCTGCAGAACTAAATGCCGACTACTGTGGCTCGTGCCTGAGGAGACCTTTCCTGCCCTCCCTTTTGCCTGTTTCCTGGTACAGCTCTGGCAGGAGGGCGTTCAGAGATAAGGCCCATGAGGGGAAACTGACAAATGAAGACCTGAGCTGTGCAGCCGAAGGCTCCTAGGCCCCAGACGACAGAGCAGCCACCATGCCAGCCCTGGCGAGGTCCAAAGCCTGAGCCCCCCCCAGCCCCCATGCACGGCCTTCACAATTGAGGCTGCAGCAGTCTGTTCTGTAGGTATCCTAATTAACTACTGCACAGCCGTGGGAGCCCTGAGCACGTCCAGCAGCACTTGTTCTGACCCGGATAACAGAAGGACAAGGATGGAAACAACTTGACTTTCTCTTGGTCATGAAGAGCATCCACATTCCTTCAGGACACGGTGCTTCTCCGAGGGTGGCTACTCGGTAGAAGAAGCTGTTCTTGGCTGTGCCTTTCGCAGGGGCCAGGTTCCTGCTGTGGGAAAACAATGCAACAATGCCGGGCAGCTGTGAATGTTCAGAAGGGCGGAACTGCTCCACCCACAGTAGAGTTTCCTCAGGGAACATTGTTGCTCTTTCACAAGCCTTATGTTAAAGCTTTTAACTCTAGGGAGGAGTTAAAACCCCAGGTTAAAACCCTAGTTCCCTTGGTTCCCAGGGAAAACCCGGTGACTTTACAGTGGAGGAGCCCCATTAGATACCCAGGCCCGGTGATCAGCGGAAGCAGCCTGCGGGGATGCCCTCAGCACACCGTGCTGTCCTCGTGTTTTCTTAAGGACAGCATGTCAGCTCCGGACTCCTTGCTCAGTGACAAAGTATCAGACGCTCTGAAACTGCAGAATCCAAGTGAAACGTGGAGCCTCTCGAGCCCTCATTGAATGGAACAGTGACTTTGGAAGTCATGACATCAATCCAAGGTTTACAGACCTTTGTCCTGTCCTGGAGTCATAGCTAGGATATCAGGAGTCTGACATCCTCTCCTTCTTAACCACCCCCATCCTGTCCACACTAGTCCTTTCAGAGATGTGTGCCCCAAGAAAACAATCTGCTACCACTCATCTTACATGCCTCAGGGTCTGTGCGGTTGAACCCTGCACTTTACTGTATTTAGTATGCATTTTGGTGACCTCACCTGTGGCAATTGTGGCCATATAGTGGGTTTTGTTAAAGTAACTTTTTTTTTTTACAGTTACCTTTCTTTTTTTTTTTTTTTTATCTTTTATTAATTACAGTTCATTCACTTTGTATCCCAGTTGTAGTTCCCTCCATTCCCTCCCAATCCCACCTTCCCCCTCTCTTCTCCTCCCTTGCCCCTCCCCAAGTCCACTGATAGGGGAGGTCCTCCTCCGTTCCATCTGACCCTGGCCTATTAGGTATCATCAGAACTGGCTGCAATGTCCTCCTCTATGGCCTGGCAAGGCTGCTCCCCTCTCAGGGGGAGGTGATCAAAGAGCCAGCCACTGTCTCATGTCAGAGACAGCCCCTGTTCCCCTTACTATGGTACCACATGGAGACTGAGCTGCCATGGGCTACATCTGTGCAGGGGTTCTAGGTTATCTCCATGCATGGTCCTTGTTTGGAGTATTAGTCTCAGAAAAGACTCCTGTGCCCAGATTTTTTTTAGTTCTGTTGCTCTTCTTTTGGAGCTCCAGTCCCCTCCAGGTCTTTCTATCTCTTCCTTCTTTCATAAGATTCCCTGCACTCTGCCCAAAGTTTGGTTATGAGTCTCAGCATCTGCTTTGATACCCTGCTGGATAGTCTTTCAGAGGCCCTCTGTAGTAGGCTTCTGTCCTGTTCCCTGTTTTCTCCCTCTTCTGATGACCATCCTGTTTGCCTTTGTGAGTGAGGATTGATCATCTTATCTAGGGTCCTTCCTCTTGCTTAGCTTCTTTAGGTGTAGAGATTTTAGTATGTTTATCCTATATTATATGTCTAATATCCACTTATAAGTGAGTATATACCATGTGTATCTTTCTGCTTCTGGGATACCTTGCTCAGGATGATCTTTTCTAGTTTCCACCATTTGCCTGCAAATTTCCTTGTTTTTAGTTGATGCTGAGTAGTATTCCAGTGTATAGATATACCACAAATCCTGTATCCATTCCTCAGTTGAGGGATATCTGGATTGTTTCCAGATTCTGGCTATTATGAATTAAGATGTTACAAACATGGTTGAGCAAATGTCCTTGTGTACTTGCACATATTTTGGGTATATGCCTAGCAGTGGTATAGCTGGGTCTTGAGGAAACACTATTCCTAATTGTCTGAGAAAGCACCAGATTGATTTCCAAAGTGGTTGTACAAGTTTGCACTCCCACCAGCAGTGGAGGAGGGTTCCCCTTTCTCCACATCCTCTCCAGCATGTGTTGTCACTTGAGTGTTTGATCTTAGCCATTCTGATGGGTGTAAGGTGAAATTTCAGGGTCATTTTAATTTGCATCTCCCTGATGACTAAAGACATTGAGCATTTCTTTAAGTGTTTCTCTACCAAATAGTCATATATCCCCCCAAGGAATTGAAGCTGTCATCAAAAGTCTCCCTTCCAAAAAAAAAAAAAAGAAAAAAAGCCCATGGCCAGATGGTTTCAGCGCAGAATTATACCAGATCTTCAAAGAAGAGCTAACTCCAATTCTCTTTAAACTATTCCACAAAATAGAAACAGAAGGAACATTACCAAACTCAAACTCATTCTATGAAGCCAAGTCACCTTGATACCTAAACCACACAAAGACCCAACAAAAAAAGAGAACTTCAGACCCATATGAACATTGATGCAAAAATACTCATAAACCTAATTCAAGAACACAAAAAAGATATCATCCACCATGACCAAGCAGGCTTCATCCCAGGCATGCAGGGGTGGTTCAATATACGGAAATCCATCAATGTGATGCACCATATAAACAAACTGAAGGTTAAAGTAACTTTTATTCACCTGGTTCAGTTGTCATCTCAGAGGCTTACTGCTGTCTGCCAACCTAGGCCTAGTTCTGGAAGCGTCTAGCTTCTATACAGTCTTATCTAGACTTAGAATGTTTTCAGCCTCTGAGACTTAGTGCTGAGTAAGTTCACCCTTCTAGTTCCTTTTGAACTCTGGCTGGCTGGAGTTCAAACTCAGCTGTTCTGGCTCAAACTCCTCTCCAAGCTGACTGATTCAAACTGGCTGCTCTGAGCTTCTGAGTAAATTGCCTTGCTTGGCCTCATACTAACTTTGGCAATATGTTCTAATCTTCTGGCTCCTCATTCTCTGGTTCATTCTGTCTTTACCTGTGACTAGCCTGTACTTTCTCTGTAAAACTGCCTCTGAATTCCACAAACTGAACAGCCATGAACTCAACTCCACTGCTCTGCCGCTCAGCTCACTGAATCAACAGAAGTGCCTGAATATTGCACTGACTAGAATTCAGAGATCTTCATGACTCTTGTCTCCTAAGTACTAGGATTAAAGGTGTCTACCACCAAGCCTGAACCCAAGCTTTTATTTACCTAAAACTTGCTCTGTAGCGGGCTGGCCTTGAGCTCAGATCTGCTTGCCTCTGTTCCTGGATTAAAGGCGTGTTTGTATTCTAGTCATACAGACCTAGGTCTTTGGCTTCGCTCTTGCCAGGGCAGCCATGTCCTGAATTAAAGTTCTTCTAATGCCCTCCCCTTTTACTTCCGCATTATTGAGTGGGACTTCCTCATGAGAACCCTTGCCCTGCTCACCACTTAGCTGACTGAGTAGAGACGGTGGGTGCTCACTTACTCTGTGGGCCATAACTCAGGAGTGATTTTTGTTGGCTCACTACTTTGAGACCGGGTTTCACACCATACCGAAGGCTGGCACTGAACTTGTGGCAATTCTGCCTCAGCTTGCGGATTCTCTACTATCATCATGTTCCCTTTCAGCTATTTCCTGGCAGTTGGGTGCTCTCAGGTTCTACATCTCTGCCATTTTCTTCCACCACAAGCTGCTCCTAGCTTGGCTTTGCCACCGGAGACCTGGAACTGCCCCTTTAAGAATTTGACGTGGAGGCAGAACGGTGGACGGTCTTGCACTATGAGCGCTGGCTACCGTCTCTCACTGTGAGGTGATGGGCACCCAGACAGTGCCCAACACACACGCGTGTGTCCCACAAAGCAAGCCACCACCCGTGAACAACCGCATGCGCGTTCCCCGAGAAAGCCAGTCCAGCAGTCTCTCCAGAGCTCTGGTCACCTTTATTAGCAGGGTAGCTGCAAGCAGGCTGCTGCTTCCACCAGGACTGTGGAGACAGATTCTGAGAGACGGCAACAGGAGGGACCCAGTGATGGTCAGCTAGAGTGGTAGGAAGGGATAGAGGCACAGTGAGGGGTCACCGTGGCGCTGTCACAGCACAAAGAGCTCCTGAATGTTGTCATTTCCTTCCTGAATATTCCCTGAGCCTCACCCGGAACAGAGAGCAGGGAGCAACCATCCTGTTCACTCAAGTCCATGATTGGCAGCGCCTCTCACAGACTTGGAGCTTCTGGACTCTGACTACTTCCTGGAGACAAAGTCACACTGGCCACATCTGAGAGTCCCCTCCCCCAGTCGGAGCCATCAGTCGTCCCCAATAAGCCTTAGAACTGAACATTTCCAACTGCCTGACACAGCTGATTTTCCCTGGTGATGGCTGGAGGCACTGTCTCCATTTTTGCAAGTCTGCCTGTGACCTGAGAAAGAGAGAGGAAAAAGGACGTTCCACTTTCCCAGGAAAGCTGGAAGAAAGAGAGGGCAGAGGGCAGATGATTCTGGCAGGCGCGGCATTCCACGGAGAGTGAGACTCCTCAGTTCTTCAGCTGTGAAACCTCGTGCAGATATGCAGCCAGCATCTTGGTTCCTTCTATGTAGTTGAACCTGACAGAGACAAACAAGCAAACAACTGCAGCTATCAGCCGCTGTGGAGGAGTCGGTATCCAGGAGGACCCTGATTCCTCCTTTTTACCACCTACAGGCTGGCCTGGCTTTCCGATTCAGCCTGCTGGGAATAATTCACCCAGGCTTGGTGTGACACCTCCTCCGCCATTCCTCGTTAGGATAACCAGTCCTGGCTTGCTCTAGGGCTCAGTCTCACCGGAATCCTGGGAGTGAATGGCTATTGTTCCTGAAGATCAGCTCTTTGACCTATAGCCCAGTAACCAGGTGCCTTTCTCCAGGACTCCTCGTCCTGGGTCTCTACTTCCCCATTTCCTAGGTAGCTACAGGGCTGTAGCCTCCACACGGCCTGTGGCCTGCTTGCCTGGGTCCCTCCTCACTAGATCAGAGGCTCTCTCCATCCTGCAGGCCAGAGGAACCCCAGAATATCTGCCTGTGAGAGGCAAAGGGGGCTTAAGCAGTTAGTGACATTAGGGTAACTTTTCAAAAAGAAGTGGAAGGCTTTTTATGGAGTGCTACAAGCGCGTGATGAACAAGAACACTGGGTGAACCCCGTTTTCAAACTGCCTTGCACCGGTTCTTACTAGCCAGCCCCTAAGGAACAAAGGAGGGTGATCACAGATGCCCCCTCCCCCAATGGCTAGAGGATGTGCCCAACCTCAGGCTCCAGTCTCACCTGTTGAGCTTTTCATTCTGGGAGTGGGCGCCATCATCCGCTGACCCCACGGGTAACAGCATGACATTTTTGCCTGTGGCCTCCTGAAAGGTCAAGGTCACAGGAATACTGCCACCCTCCCTGGTCAGGTCAGGTTCAACACCAAACACTGGGGGAAAGAAAACGAAGAGAAACAATGAACTTTCAGCCCTGGATGCCAGAGAGCTGTCACTCAGCTCGGGAGTCTAAGGAGGCTGTGACCCACCCCACACTTCAGCCCTGCTCACAGCAGCGCAGACACTGTCATGTGCACACATGCTACAACAGCGCCCTCAGGCTCAGGGGCCTGGCATCCACCTCCAAAGGGCAGCCAACCTGTTTTCAGAGCTCTTCTCCCCGCCTGGTAATGAGGATGGTTGAAGTCGGATACCCAGGGCTTCCCACCATGGCCCATGTACACCTTGAACTTGTTGGGGCTGTGAAGTTCAGCAAACTTCTTTGACAAGTAGCTTGACACCTATGCCATGAGCAGAAGAGATACATGATGTGTTATACCTGGCGATTGGTCAGTGGGAGGAACCACACATGTCTAGCCACTGCGACAGCACGCTGGGCACAGTGGTCTACACAGCCTCTCAGGGTCTAGGACGGTCTGTGCTGGGCTTCCCTTCCAGCTGAGTACTGATGGGCATACCCACTGCCGCCACGGAGAGGAGCAAAGCAAGCGACGGCAGCGGAAAGCCAACGTGCTCAATTCAACCCGTTCACCCTTGACAAACACACTGAATTACGACAGCACGTAGACATTGAGTAAAAACCTTGTTGTTTGACCTGACATATTCAACAGACAGGGTGTTTGTGTCCTGAAATGCTGATGCTGACACTTGGCTAATTCTTCCCGGCAGGCTGACTGGATTCAGAGTCACCACGGGAACACAGTCCTGGGTGTTTAACTTGTAGGTCGGTTTAACTGAGCAGTGAAGACCTGGCCTCAAAATAAAAGCCCGCTGTCCTCTGAGAAGACACCTCAGGGTGCTCTTCCCAGAAGCCTCTGGCTCTATCTCTTTATGAAGGCTCTCTGGTCATCAAGGCACAAGCATGTTCCGTGAGCCTCAAACGCCTGCAGCTACTCCCATTTCCGCCCCTCAGCTCCAGGAGAGAGCACCCTTTGGGACTTTCAGCTAACATGTGGGCACACATGAGAATTTGCTTCACACCTTTGGGGTGCGGTCAGAGGTCATAGTTTCCTATGTCTCAGTCTGAAGTGTGTGATTCTTGCTCAGATGGCCTTTTTGTCTGACAAGCTTCTACACTGCTTGCTACAGCAAATGCTGAGGGGCTAGAGTGAGGAGGAGGCTTCTGCCTGGGTGTAAGTTCTTACTGCGTAAGCTTAACATCACAGCAGCCTCAGCTGCCACCACGTACTTCTTGCCCCAACTCATGCCTTGCATCCCAAATACCTGCTCGCTAACAACTTCGGGTATCATGTTTGGCACCAGCCTGATGGAGAACTTGCCGACCACTTTCCTGGGGATCACAGTCTTGGCCCCAGAACCGGAGAAGGCCCCTTCAATTCCATGGAGCGAGAGGGAGGGGTACCGCCAGCGGTGCATCAGGATGTCCTTCTGCAGAAGAGCAGAGGACACAGGCGCCTATTTAGGAGGCCTGGGTGAGGACACAGGCCCCGCCCACAGGACACTGGATACCTGCCCCCCCAGGAGGCCTGGGTGAGGACGCAGGCCCTGCCCACAGGACATGGGGACCCCTACCCAGGAGGGCTGTTCAGAGCCCACACAATGTATAGGGACAACTGTCACACACTCCAGAGGGCTGTGAGCCTTAACAGCCCCAAGAAGTGATGGTGGGTGATGTTGGGGTGTCATAGCGTGGGCTTCCAGTCCCCAGCAGCCTAAGATGTCTCTGCTCCTCTGCGAGCCCTTGTGCCCACCTGCCTGATGGCACAACAGTTTATACTTATTTATCCCTTTGCCTCTGAGAAAGGCGAGAGACTCAGGAGCTCAGCCAGGCCTGGTGCTCTCTGTCCCTGGTCTAGAAGAGGCTGATGCAGGATGCTGCTGGTTTGGCTATGAGAGGTGATGAACTGATAACCACACTCCTGAGTCTGGACATAAACCAAGATAACAGCAAATGGCTTCTGCCTCTACACTCAGCTTAATACCTGGGCCTGGTGGGAACAAGGTGGCCCACAGGCCTACACCAAGCAAACAGCTCCAGTGCAGGAGAGGCGGCTACTCCCTCTGCACCTCCTTAGCTCTCGGTGCTCAGAAGTTGACCCTGACACCTGAGGAGCCTAACATCTCTCAGCTCGGCCACACCCTGCTTTTGAAAACTCTTGAGCAAGGCTAAGGATAAGCCTCTGACCCTGGATGTCTTTGCCTGGTGGGCATGCCCACCACAGGAGCCCTGGTGGCCTGCACAGTTTGTGCGTGTGTGTGTGTGTGTGTGTGTGTGTGTGTGTGCGCGCGCGCACACGTGCGTGTCAAGCAGCACCTTGCAGCTGTGCAGAAGGGTCTTGGCCCCCACGTCCCTGGCGAACTCTTCCATATCGAAGTCAATGTGGTCATAGAGCTCACACTCCTCATCCGTCAGGGGAGCCACGGCGTCGTAGATGCCAGGGACGAGGATTTTCCCCTTCTTGTCTATCAGGCAGCCTGAGGGGCGGAGCAGAGGAGAGATGCTTAGCTGGGGGGCACACAGGCATTCTGAGCTGTCCCGACTCGGCAACTCAGGCACCACAGCACACACGGCGGCCACGTGACAGCAGCAGGACCCGGTGCTTATGCCGCTGCGTCAGGTAAGCAGCCCCACTACTCAGCTTCTCAGAGGGGCAGGTGGAATGCACAAGTTATCCCCCAGCTGTATACCAAGGCATGAACCTAAAAGCCCACACTAGCCAGCATTCCTTTATAATGCCCATTCCACAGGAGACAAGAAGGACCCTACGGTGGGACGCGGTGCTCTCTACAGATCAGTGTCCCTCCACCTGTGGGAGCCTTCATCCTGGGGGGTGGGGTGGAGAAAGGAAGTCACAGAACAAGATGGAGACAATAACCCCACTTAGCTTTGTGCTAGCAGGATGCTGGAAGGGAGCTGTGGTCCTTGCTTCCCAGGAGCTGACCTAGCAGGGGGACCTAGTTATGGTCAGTTGGAATAGATCGAAGATGTCCTCTGAGAGCCATAAAATACTATGCCCAGAAGAAGAAGGCACGCAGGGGTTCCAAGGGACATGCTAAGTGGGACCTGGGGCCCTCCCACTGGATATGGGAGGGAGGGCAGTTCTCTAGATGGCGAGGGTACAGGGAGGACAGGAAGCCCGTAGAGGCAGGAGTCAACTGTAGGGCTCTTTAACTAAAACAATGCCCAAAAGGGAACCTCATTAGAAACACGGCTGAGTGTGCTCACGAAGCTGCCGACACATGCGCTGCAAACAGAGCTTAGAGAAGGTACCCTGCCCCGCTCCCTGATGACAGAGCGCTCACCCAGAGAGTGCCGACCCTGCGCTCACCCATCAGCGAGATGAGATCTGTCATGGCCTCGTGCACTGAGCCACCATACACGCCAGAATGGAGGTCTTTGTCACTGCACTCCACCTGGGCAGACACAAAGGTCACTTCATTGGTGGCTTAGTGGGAGCTTACTTTAATTATGCGACATTGCATTGAACAAAGAACACTTGTAAGACACAGTTTTTCAGAATAACTCTGCTTCCTCAAGCAGCAAAGCAAGACATTTCCTAGTCAGCAGTCTGTTGGACAAGAGCAGAGCCCGTGCTGACGGGGAATGCCGGCTCTCTGACAGAAAACAGCCTCTCTGACCCTGACAGCCCTTTTTAAATGAAGGGCAGAATCTTGTCATTTCACAGAGACCCTGCACAGGTTACTCAGAGGACAACCCCAAACATGGGGCATGACCCTGTGAGCCCCAAGGATCTGGTTCTGACCCATTTGAGTACTGACTAGTCTTATGCCCAGGCCATACAGGTAACCACCATGTGCTTAGAGCCGTCGCCAACAGCGAGTAGCAGATCTGCCCGTACCCCTTGCTCATCTGGTAGAGGGTGCACTCTTCTGATGCCTCAGCCATGGGTTAGAACTTACCTGCCAACATGTGAACATTTTAACTTTTAGAGGAAGGGTTCTCAAGAGCTTTTTTGTCCAAGCCGTCTCAGAAGATCTGCTGTCATCTCATCTGCTCTACCACAATATCAATGTTATTAAGATAATACTGCCTTAATTTGAAACTGCTATGAAATCTGACTTCTGACCTCAGAAATCCATGCCTGGGTATTAGGATGGATTATGGAACCCAAGAAGGGGCCCTGGGAAGTCCTGCGCTCCTCCTTCATGTATGATTAAGTTCTTGGCATTTGCCTATGCCAGGGTATGAAGAACAAAGAGGCTTAGGCGTCAGAGAGAAGCAAGGTGCCGTTGTGGGCGCCTACCTCGATGAAGAAGTAACAGATGCCTCTGAGGCCGTACGTGATGCAGGGCTTGTTCTTCCCCAGCCAGTAGTTGTCTGAAATGCAGACGTAGTCCACATCTTTGAAGAACTTGTCTTTCTGGGCAAAAATTAAGTCATCCAGCCCTTCGGAGCCAGATTCCTCCATGCCTTCCAGGCAGAAGCGCAGGTTGACAGGAATCTCCTGGGATGGGAGACGGGGAGAAGTCCGTTTCCTCACTTTTCTCACAGAAGTGACACACAGGAGACCTTCAAGATTCAGTTTCAAATGCAAGCTCTTCTCCCACTGGCTTGTGGGAGCCCAGGGTCAGAAGGGAAAGTCCCCCACCAGCCATGCCAGGGGATCTCTGCACTCAGAGTGAGCCGTGAGTGAAGGGGAAGCCATGAGAAGGGGGAAGGGCAGTCAGGCCTGGCCGGGGGAGCACTGCGCTTCCAGAGGACCAGGGTTCCATTCCCAGCACAAATGTGGCTGCTCACAGCTGTCTGCAACTCGACCTCAGACCTTCACGCACCCCCTGTGCAAATGCACCCTCACACATGTAATACTTGAAAACACACATATAACACACACACATGGAAGAACAATAGAGGAATGAGGAGAGAATTTTTTTGCTGAACAAGCACCGAGCCTTCCCTGTTGCTGAGTGAGACCTGTCCTGCACTGGGAAGGGCTTGCACTCGGCCAGCATCCTCTGCGCACACAAGCCAACTGTCCAAGGTGCTTGAAGCGAATCTCAACACAGCACTGGAATCTGGATCCAGTGCTCTGGATTCTGCTGCATGAGTTCTTCTAGCTCCAAAGAAAAGGGGGCTGCACACGGGCAAGCAACCAGCTAGAGGCCAAACAGGGCAGAACCGCGGGGTCCAAAGACTTCTGCCAGCTCACAGCTGCCTGGGCAAGGATCACTGAACACCTTCTCCCTCCTGCACCTCTCTTCTGTCCCAGGTAAAACTTTTTCTGGGACCTCGATATACGGAACAGCTACAAGTGAAGTTCTTGGGGCTCTGTCCCATGCACCCCTATGGCCTTCCAACACAGTGTGAGGCTTCCCAGTTTCCGTGCCCGGCTCTTAGTCAGCTGTCGGACAGGCCAAGTGTATTCAAACAAACAACAAAACCGCTCTCTCCTGTGCAAATGATCCCCAGACAAAGAGTCTAAGCCCCTTTCCAGATCTAATGCTCCACACTTTGACAAAAATACTCATTCCTATTTTATTGGGCTGTAAAATTAAACCCATATGCAAAGCCTGTCCAGATACCATGATCACAATCTGCTTAAAGATAATTAAAAGCCTAGGTAGAAAACAGTACTAGCAGGTACTCAAGAGTTAGGATTCTAGAAATACCACCCCCCTTTTCTATATTTTACCAACTTTGAGAAGAAACAACTCAAAATAATCTAACTTTTTTTTTTTTAGGAGAATAAAAACCACATGGAGAAAAGAATTTGCAATATCACAAAGTCTGTTACATTCAGGCAAGGGACCACACTCATGGTTAGTTATAGGTTGAAAATTCATATTAGCCAGGGTTGGTGGCACCTGCCTGTAATCCCAGCACTTGAATGCTGAGGCAGGAGGATTGTCAGTAGTTCAAGGCCAACCTGAGATATATAACATGACTCTGTGTCAAACAAACACACCTGAGCGTCACATTTGGGAGCTGGGTGCAGTGGCACACAGCTAAAATCTCAGCACTAGGGAGGCAGAGGCAGGCGGACCCTGTGAGTTACAGGCCAGCCAGGGATACAGTGGAAGGCTCTACCTCAAAATCAACCAGCCAACCAACCACTACCACCACCACCAAAAACCCCAAACTAAAAACCCCAAATAAATGACAAAAAAGCCCTGAAACAGCCACAGTAAAAGAAAATAAAATTCAGACGTAGGGACGGAGATACGGCTCGGTGGTACAGCAAGTTCCCAGCATGTGTGAGGAGCTGGGTTTGATCTAAGCCCGGAAAGGAGAGAAACAAAGGCCACTTTCTAAGTGTTGGCAAAAATCTTGCGGAGTAGTGATAGTGTGACCTTTGAGCATCTGAAAGATAACCAAGTGTTTAATGATTTCTAGGGCTGGGAAGGGCTGTCATCTTTGAGCTCAGTCACCTATGCTGACCAAGGTGGGGCCGGCTTCCCCCTCTAGTGATCTTTACACCACTACTCACACGCCCTGAGCAGTGGAGAGAATCTGACGGGGGTTGTACCTGGCCAGTCTTCTGATAGGCCTCCAGGGCATTCATCCACCCGGCCACTGGCCCCTTGTCGTCCGTGGAGCCTCTCCCGTACAACTTGCCTGGAACAGCAGTCAGGAGATGCAGTTAGACACAACAAATGAAAAGACCTTTCACAAGCGAACATCTGATGAGGCCTAGCACAGCCACACAGCTGTCCTGAGCACTGGGCTTTTTCCACTTTCACGGCCTGAGTCTCCATCCAACCCTATGCTAAAATCTAGTCAGAATTCTTGCAGCCCAAGAAGCAGCCACGTCAGTGCCTCCTGTTTTCTCCCCTCTCATAGCAACGGTGAGGACAGTGACTCACAGAGAAGCAGGGCCGAGATTCACCATCTAACTTCAGAAAACCCTTACCTGTCCCCTGAAAGGGTCAGACCGCTGTCCCTTTAAGACCTAGGCACCCTCACACTAACAGCAACCTCATGGGAGCCTGGTCTCGGGAAGCTCATGGCGACATCACGGAAGCAGCACACACTGCGCTCTCATCCCAATTTTGATACCTAATCTGAATCTTCTGGGGGCACTAAGCTCCAATTAGCATGGTCGGGCATCTGGGATCAGGGCCAGGGTGTTCCCAGCATGGGCACAGCAGGGCTGGGAAGAGCAGGGGCAGCACACGGCAGGGGCAGGGCGACTGTTTTTGGCGGTGCCACTCACGGATGTGTGAGAGAGGGTCCAAGAAGAAAAAGGAGGTTCCTGTGAGTGCGGCTTGAGCTACCATAAAGACAGATGTGTGTGTCTGAGACTTGGGGGGAATCCACGTGCCCTGGAGTTAACAGCAATGGGTCCATCCCAGTTACGTGGTGAGAGGGGGCACTTATGGGATGAGGTTTCACAAAGGCCGTGTTAAATAAAAATAACTGTTCACATTTCACAGCCAGGCAACAGTCCACACGGAGTCAGGACACATGTGAAGACCAGCTCCACACGCAGTTAGGGGCCTGGAACTCAGCCCTGTGGGGCAAGGCTCAAAGTTAGAAGGTGTTATCTCCCAGGGACTCCCCTGACAGAAGCAGTGGCATCTGGGAATGGAAGCTGAGCGTTTCCCAAGCGGGAGTGAGGAGAGGCTGGCTTCAGGGACTGTGCAGCCTCAGAGCAGGGTGGGTGCTCTAGAAAAGGCAGCAGGATCGCAGGAAACCCTGCTAAGCTCCCACCATGGACTCGTCATGAGAAAAGGAAAACTCTTCTGAGCTTTTAACAACTGAGGCACAAGTGACACACTTCCAGACACTAATCACTAGATTCTGTTAAAAAAAAAAAAAAGTGTACCCAAAAGAGAAAAATCCAGGAGAATATTAGTGATTTCCCAAATGTAGCCCATCTGAAACATTTCCTCTAGTGCTGAAAATGGGCACTGAGTGCCTGCTCCAGTATTGGAGCTTTGGGGGGCATGCACTGTGTGCCCTCACCTTCCCGCTCCACCAAGGTGAAGGGATCGCTATCCCAGCCGTCCTCCAGGGCCGCAGGCTGCACGTCCAGGTGCCCATAAATACACACAGTTTTCTTCTGCGGATCGCTGCCCAGTTTGCCCAGCAGAATGGGAGGAAGGGGTATCTCCGAGCCGTCCGGGAGCTGAGCAGGAGGAGCAATAGAGGACAGTCTGGTCAGTAGACTGGCAGTGTCTGACAGCTGTCATTAAATCCAGCTAGGATGGTCTTATGTGTTCTTATCCATCACCCTCTGCTGTGGAGCTTAAGATCACATCATTTAACAGTCAACAAGGATCCATGGTCTCAAAATCCAATGATCTCCTGAATCCCTTTCCTGAAATCCAGTGAGCATTAACTAAACCACATCTACAGCTAGTTTGATGAACTGCTTAAGGCTGCTTTTATTCAAACCACCAATATACATAATGAAACATTTTGCAGCTTGGGGCTGAGATACAAGTTAACTCATTTCTGAAATAATGGCTAAAACAAAGACAACCTGCAATTGAATGCTACATTTTTGAAATTGTATCTGTAGACAACTAAGATGAACAGAATGGGCCATCAACCAGGATAGGAACAGGGCTGGGGAGATGGCTCAGCAGTTACAAACACTTTTGGCTCTTTCAGAGAACTGATTCAGGCCCCAGAACCCATGCCAGACATCACAACCCTGTCACATCAACACCAGGGGATCCAATGATCTCTTCCGGCCTTTTTGGGCACCAGCAAAATGTGTACCTGTGTACGTACACACACACACACACACACACACACACACACACACACACACACACTCTGTCTCTCTCTCTCACACTTTTGAAAAAATCTTCAAAAAAGAAAGAAAGACTTTAATTTGCACTTGGGAGGCAGAGGCAGGTGGATCTCTGTGAGTCAAAGCCAGCCTGGTCTATAGAGCTAGTTCCAGGACAGCCAGGTCTACACAGAGAAACCCTGTATTGAAACAAACAAACACCCCCCCCAAAAAAAAAAAAAAAAGAGAAAGAAACAAAGAAAGAAGGAAAGTGAATTCACATAGTGTCAGGTAAGTAAAATGGTGGCAGTGGACGCTTCTCCTTGGCTTTCCCCCGAAGGCCTTGCCAGCTGTCCGGGACATCCCCTGAAGAATTTCCTGAGTCTAGAGGAGAATTCAGGGACACACAAATCATCTTGGGTGATGGCCAGCACTTGTGGCCCTAATGGTGGCCCTGGCAGCCCATGTACCTCCTCTGCCGGCTCCTGCAGCTTATCGGGAAAACTGTGATGACAGCAGAGTGCCTCAGGCAGTTGGCCGGGCACGACATCAGCCCTCGAGCACACACGCTTGTTCCAGCATGGACATCGTGCACAACGCTCATGTACTCGAAACCACTTCAAAGAGCTGCTAGGAAAACGCCTACTGAAAACGTAAGGCACAAACGAAGAGGACCGTGCAGTTATAGCCAGAAGCCCTCAAGCCAGACCATCCCGTCACAGCCCAGTGCACACCATTATCCTGGTAATGAAGCTAGACTAATAATTTATGATTAGGAGGTAAAATGGGCAGCAACTGAAAATGACAAGGCAAGGACAACGTAGGTGAGGGCTGAGAAAAATCTCAGCTCCCAACCTTCAGCCTGCAAACAGGTTAGACCACTAGGTGGGTGGTCGGGATTTGTTCATTGTTTTTTGAGACAGGTCTCCCTGTCTGGCCTGAGATCCCTGTTCCTGCCTCTAGAGTACTGGGATTGAACCCACGCTCTGCCACACACAGCAGGTAGTAGGAATTCTTAAGAACACATAACTTATTTTCTAAGTAAACTCTGCTAACAAAATACCCAGGTACTTCTTGACCCTGGCAGCTCCTAGCCTGCGTCATGAGGGCTTGGCTTGCACTTCAGATCTCATGAGGTTGGCTGTAGCCACCAGGGGAAGAAAATCCTGCCTTAAACTTCTGGGCACACAGAACACATGGCTTCTCCCGCATCTGGCCTGACCAGGGAAATCTCTCAATTCCTTCACGAATGTGGTTGTTACCTCATGTGAAGTAGTCTTGGCTTCTGTTTTTTCCCCTGCTGGGTTTCTCTAACAGCGGAACACCTAGCAGCCACTGTGTCTTTTCACAGAGGGCCTTTTTAAAGTACTCCAGTGGTAACATAATAGGTGCATTTATTTTAAGGAAACAACTCTTAAAAATGGTTTATCCCACCTAGTGATTTCTTGTTTGTTTGTTTTGACACAATGGGAAGAATGGCAGAGGCCGTGAGCAGAAAAAGCAAAAGGGAACAACCCTGGCATTTGGGAGCCCAGACTACAGAGTAAAACCTTGCTTAAGAAACACATAATAATACAACTTTTAAAAAGACTAAACAAAATGTTACAGGAAACAATATGAAGAAACTTAGTTTATTTCCCTAACAGAGGGGCATATTTGCTGGGAAGCTGCTATTATATCTTAACTGTTAAAATTGTCATCTGAAGAAAACCTCAAGAAAAGTGCTGGCCCAGGAGTAGGAAGGCTGGATTTGAACTCTGCTTTTGCCATTAAGGCACTAAGCTCCCAATGGCAAGTCCACCTCTTAGCTGAAGTATGCAGGGTGATCTGAAGGGCCCACCCCAAGTCCCAGAACTGTGCATTCTACTGCACACCTAAGTCATCAGACAAAAGACCCAGATAAATCAACTCTTGCCACATTTTGCAACATAAGAGACTTGTAAGATGTGAAAACACAGCCCTGTGGTGGTTGCCCCGCCTTTAATCCCAGCAGCTCTTGGGAGGCAGAGGCAGGTGGATCTCTTTGAGTTCAAGGCCAGCCCTGGTCTACAGATTAAGTTCCAGGACAGCCCTGTGTCAAAAAACAAAAACAAAACAAGCAAAAAGATTTGAAAACACAGAATGGAGTCAGGTGTGGTGGCTTACAGCTGAAATCCCGGCACCTGGGAAACTGAAGATTGTCATGGGTTTTGGGCCAAGTTGGGTTACAAGAAGGAAGACCCTGTCTAAAACCAAACCAAAACAACAACAACATGAGCCTAAAAAAATCATGTGAAACTAAGGTAGTAGAAAAATATATCATAAAGTCAAATTATTGATTTAAGTCAGAGGGCAGCTGGGTGTGGTGCGCAAGACTTAAATCCCAGCAGCTGGGAGGAAAAGGCAGCGGGATCTCCGTGAGTTCCAGGCCAGTCTAGTCTGGCCTGCCAGGGCTACACAGTTAGATTCTGTCTCAAATAGAAACCAAAACTACTAACAAAAACTGGAAAGCAGACAAGTTTTTCCTAGCTTGCCCTCTCCACCCACAGATCATTATAAGAAGTGCTGGCGGGCAAGAGAAATTTTGTTATTAATTTTTATGTTTTTGTTTTAAGTATATTTTTCTCTTTTATTGAAAATGGACTTTTTTTTCCCTCCTACAATATTTCCTGATTACAGTTTCCCTTCTCCCTACTCCTAGCTTCCCCTTTCTGTGTCTCATTAGAAAGAATAAGCTTTTAAGAGAAAACAAAAATAACAAAATATAACATAAAAAGACACAACAGCACCTATCACATTGAAGTTGGACAAGGCAAACCAACAGAAGGAAAAGGGCCCACAAAAAGGCACAAGAATCAAAGAGCCAGTAGCTCCCACACTCAGGGGTACCACCACAAAATACTAAACCGAAAGCGCTGACACACACAGAGGACCGGTGCAGGAAGCTGTTACTTATAAGGTGAATCAGCTAATGTGTAACGCACACTAGTGAAAGCTTTGGTTTCTGGGAAATGACAGTCTTTTCACTTACTCTTAAGTCACTGGCCTCCAGCTCACCTTCCTGGAATAAAGTGTGCTGATAATCGCTAATCCTTTAACTCACCCCAAGCGAGACAACCAGTGGGACGCACACAAAGCCAGTACATGCTTGCTTTCAAGAAGGGTGGACCATCTTCAGTGAAGGTCACCCAGGCCTTGCAGCCTCTCCCACCCCCAGGAGAACTGTCTGCTTCCACTTCTGTGGGCTCATACCTTCTGCCTCCCAATGTCCACCAGCTCATACCTTCTGCCTCCCAATGTCCACCAGCTCGTACCTTCTGCCTCCCAATGTCCACCAGCTCCACGGAGCCCCCCAGCCTCTGCACGTCAGCAGCAGCCACCTCCATCATCCTTCTGATCTCCCCTCGCTTCTCCGGCCAGGCGGACACGCTCTGGATGGCCACCCAGTCTGCAAGTTTCTGTTTGTAGAGAGCAAGTGGAAAGGGCTCTGAAATGCTGCTTTTTTAGGGCACGCGAGATGGGCTCACCAACGGACCTTTGCTGACAGCTACTACCCCGCTTTATGAGCGGAGCAGACCTAGATCAAACAACAAGACTGTACCGTCTCTACCCTCAGAATAAGCAGAAAGGAAAACATGCCAGAATGTGCCTTTTTAGCCAAGCATGATTATAAACCACACAATTCCATAAATAAGTTTGTATCTATAGTAAAAAAAAAAAAAAAAATGGCAACATGCAGAAAATGTGCTACAATGTTGCGATCCAAGCTAGTGTACTCTCTCCCCAAGTTTTCTAAGGGGTAAGTTTTAGAGTGAAAAGTCAAAAATGGTTCTTCCAAAAGTAAACTAAGGTCATTATTCCATCAGATAAAAACTGAGCAACAGATTAAAATATATCATAGAATCACTCAGAACCCACTCTAATGAAACTGTTTTTTTAATCTGAGTATCACAAGAAACCATAGATGAGATTACAGAAAAATAAAGAAGTTACTGAACTCTTTCCAATGACAAGAGTATAACTTTCATCATCAAGAGATGAAGAAACATGAAACTTTAATATTGATCAAAATGGCATAACTCGTATCAGCGTCTTGAAAATCCCCCAGATCTGACAAGGGTAAAGCAGGTTTTGTTCTTCTGGAAGAAGCAGACCCTCACCTTGACATAGCGGTCCTGGTTTTCCTCGATGTACTGGAACACGGTGTGAAGGCCTGACATCTTTCCGGCAGACTCAGACCGGCAAAACTGAGCAGAGAGAACAGTGGGTCAGACCTGCCTGCGGCTGGACGCAAGTGGCCAGAGGCGCTGTGCTGTGAGGACTGGGACTCCACCCTCCTGTCAGCACGGGGTTGCGACACTTAATCACAGGACCTTCCAGGAAGTGACCGCACTTCAGGGCCAAGAGCTTGGGAAGGAGTCAGAGGCTCAGACTGATCTTCCCTTCCTTGTTCCAAAGAAAAGCCCATAATTTTTTTTTTCACCAAAAAGGACTGCCCCAGTGGCAGACAATCTGAAGAAAACTAAAAGTGGGTAGTTTCCACCAGATCGGTTTACCAAGCAATTCGGTTTTTAAGACAAGGTCATACTCGATAACCATAGCTGCCCTGGAACTTTCTGTGTTGACCAAGCTGGCCTCACACAGAAATTCTCCTGCCTTCTGAGTATCGGGATTAAAGATGTGTGTCAGCATGCCTAGTTGGCACTTACTTTAAAAAATGTTATACTTTTTTTTTTTAGACAGGATCTCTTGTGGCCTGGGCTAGCTTTAAACATCTGTTCCTCTTGCCTGTATGTATGTATGTATGTATGTATGTATGTATGTATGTATGTATGTATGTATGAGTTGGGATTACAAGTCCAAACTACCAGGTGTGTGTGGTAATGGAGGTTGAATCCAGGATTTCTTGCATGCTTTGCAAGCACTCTACCAACTGAACTACAGACCCGATTTTATAGTCTTAAAGCACAGGGTGAACTATTAACCTTCTGTCAGTACAGAAGAAATAATCATTTCAAAGATCTCAATAGAAATGTCACAGGACGGGTGTGGTGGCAAATGCCTTTAATCCCAGCACAGGGGAGGTTAGAGGCAGGCGGAACTCTGAAAATATGAGGCCAGCCTGCTATATACACACAGAGTGAATTCCAGGCCAGCCAGAGAGACAGTGTGACCCTGTCTCAAAAAGCAAGGAAGTAAACAAACAACTCCCCCTCATATTCTGGCTCTTCAACTGCAAACCTACACCCAGCAGGGTCCAGAAAGCAAGATGAATTCAGCTGAGGACCACTGACATCAAGGGACTCGGCTCAACGTCCCTAAGAGCCAGAGATGAGGAAACGCCCACTTTGCAGGAGTGCCGCCACGGAGAGCAGCTGGGCGCCGAGGTCTGAGAAGCTGCGCAGTGTAGGGGCGCGCATGGATAAGCACATTTCAGGCACTGCACAAATACACTCAGTGCCTGCTTTTTCTGGGCAGGGTTTTTCCTGTTTAAAAACAAGACAGTGTAGCCTAGGTTGTCTTGAACTTTTGATATTCATGCTTTCACCTGCACTTGCTAGAATTCCAAGTGCGCACCAATACAGCCAGTTCCCCTGGTACTGAGAGTAGAAGCCAGAGCTACAACTCCAGTCTGCTGGGCACAGGTTACAACATTCCGTTTTCATCTCTGGGACCCCGGAACTCCTGCACTCTACAGAGGCAGGAGAAAGTAATTTGTGGAGCTGTTTTTAAAAAAGGAATCAGTGTGACATACAGACGCCTCAAGCACTGAGATTTGCAACTGGTGTCTTCTCTTTCTTCAAATATCAAGACTTTGGCTTAACTCAGCATAGGTGAAACACAGCTTGGTGGTGCTGGGGGCTGCAGAGCACGGCTTCTGGATCGCCGGCCAGCTTCTAAACAGGGAGAAGGCGATGCTCTGTGATGCCAGGTGTGGCGGCTATGCAACACACTGAAATTTCTCCAGCAATTGAAATCCCAGGGCACCTCAAATAGCAAACGCGATTGCTGCCAGAATGGGAGACGGAACTGCTAGGATCGCTCCATCTTGCCTCACACAGCCTCCCCTGACAGGGCGGCTGGGAGACACCACAGATGCTGCTGTGGCATCAGTTTACACGGTGAAACCTTGCCCTGCAGGCCCATCTGCTACACGGGGTAGGTTTCACCAGGGCTCTGTTCTTGCATAAATCCCAATCACCGCGGACTCACATTCTCACAGCTAAACCAACAACTTTGTTACTAACGTTCCCGCAAAGATGTTGGATCTGAGGTTCGCCTTTCTCTGAGGGCAGTAGCAGACAGGAACCAACTACCCCAGAGCTCCCAGAGCACCTTAAAACGAACCCTCCCTCTAAATTGTCCCTCCAGACACAGCGAGTTAGGCCCGGTTCCACGCTGCCCCCCACTAGGTTCTGATGACCCCTGCTTCCCTTCCCCCAACATCAAGGCCATCACTTGGAATCCATTTATTAAGGTAAAAAGCGGTGCTGGTGGAGCTGAACAGAAGCCGTCTTCCTGCCAAACAACTTCACTATCTGTAAGTCCGAAGTTCTCAGGGAGCGGCACAAACCCATCCCAAACAGGGCCTTCGCCTCGAGTCCGAGAGGACAAGACTGGCTGGAGAAGATTGGCGGCCTTCAGGGTTAGTGTCATCAAACGTCCACTCCGCTTTACAAATGAATAAGCTGAGACTAGTGAATGAATGAGCGGCCTAACCGCAAGAGCAAGCTGGCAGAGGGGGTCCTCTCCCCTGCGGATCCACCCTAGGCAAGGTCCAGGTGGACTCTGCCCGGGGCCTTTGCCCCCAAGGAGCGCCTGGCGCCAGGCAGCATCCTGGGACTCCACGTTAGGGGTGAGGGCTGCCCAGCCTTTGCTCCTTGCGACCCCTCGGCCCCCACGCCGCTACGCAGGCCGGCCCGGACGCACGGCCCATCGGCCGCGCAGGGCGCACGGGGTGGCCGGGCTGACCCGGCACTGGTGGGGCTCGGCGGATCAGAACCCACCCCTGCGGCGGGGGAGGCCTGCGTCCCGGGCTACGGCCCTGCGGAACCGCGGGCCGTCGCCGGGGCCTGGGTGACTCAGGCCTGGGCTGACAGCGCGTCGGGGATCGGGGCCCTCCCGGCTGCCGCCGCCCCCACCCGCACGCCCCGGGGCCCCGCACATCCACGCAGCCCGGGGCGGCTCCCCCACCGTCCGGCCCCGCACCGAGCCCGCCGGCGCCCCCCCGGGAAGGAAGGCCCACAGACCGCCCGCTTACCGTGCCGGTTCCGCACCACGTGTCCCTGGCCGCCCGACCAGCCAATGCCCGGAGGCCTGGGGCAGGCCCCGCCCCGCCCCGCCCCGCGACGCTCCCCGCCTCGACAGCCAATGCCAGGTCTCCTCGGCACAGCCCCGCCCCGTGCCCCGCCCCTGGCCGGCCGTAGCCACGCCCCTCCCCGCCCGCGAACGCTCTCCTGAAGGTGTTCAAGGCCATTGCTTCAAAGCGGGCGCCTGGAAGTCAGTGCCGCTCGGAACCCCGAAGCGAGGGGTTTCCCCGGGGGCCCGCGCCGCTCTCCTGTCCAGCGGAAGCCGGAATGGACGTCCTGCGGCCAGCGCGCCCTCCGCCTAGTCCATTTGATGACAAAGCGTAGAACTTGCTCAGTCTCCCACGTGCTGGGGTTACCAGTTTGTGACACTGTGCCAGCCCCTCCCACGTTTTCTGTCCTGTTTTATTTTGTTTTTGGTTTGCCAGACAGGGTTTCTCTATGTAACAGCCCTGGCTGCCCCAGAGCTCGCTCTGTAGACCAGGCTGGCCTTGAACTCACCGCCGCCCGGTCCCTCGCACCCTCCCACATTTTTAATTAGACAATATTTTTGTATGAGTGAGTGTTTCGCCTGAGTGCATGTTTGTGCACCGCTTGTGCGCCTGGTGTCAGGTTTGCCAGAACTGACGGCGAGCTGCAGCGGGGGTGGGGGGGGGTGGGGGGGGTCCCTGGGACTCCTGCAGGCGCATGCACTCTCGAGGCTTCTCTCCACGCCCCCCCCCCACAGTTTTAAAGCTGCTCTGAGAGGGTTTTTTTCTAGTTACAAGGAATATAGTGTCATATACTCCGAAAACTCGAAAACGAAGTGATCATTCCTCTTTTTAATTTTTTTTTTTTAAAGGTTTTTCGAGACAGGGTTTCTCTGTGTAGCCTTGGCTGTTCTGGACTCGCTTTGTAGACCAGGCTGGCCTTGAAGTCACAGAGATCCACCTGCCTCTGCTCCCTTGAGCGCTGCTATCAAAGGCGTGCGTCAGCACTCCTGGCTTGATAGTCTTTTAGCTGATGATTCTGTCATGTTTTTCTATAATATATATTATATATATATTAATTTTTTATTTGATTAATATATAATTACATCACTCTCTCCCTCCACTTCCTCCCACCACCCTCTCCCATGTTCCCTGACCTCTCCAATTCATGGGTTCTTTTTCTTTAATTATTATTTTTACATATAATAATAATATATTACTTTAATACTAGAGATTAACTCAGCACCTCAGGTACTCTAGCAAACATGTCCACCAATATATATCCACCACCAACAAATTATATATTTATATGTTTATTTTTATATGTTTATATATAATATATACTTATATTACGTATGTGCACATACTCACACATATATGTATAAATACAAACACACACACACACACACATAATTTGATGTTAGTTTGTGTGTTTTGTCTGTTTTTGTTTCAGATGTGTCATCAGGCAGTGGCGGCACACACCTTTAATCCCAGGACCTGAAGGCAAAGGCTCTGTGAGTTCGAGGCCAGCCTGGTCTACAAAGTGAGGCCAGGACAGCCAAGGCTACACAGAGAAACCCTGTTTCGAAAAACAAAACAAAGGTATGGAGAGATGGCTTAGTGGTTAAGAGTACTGACTGTTCTTCCAGAGGACCAGGGTTCAATTCCCAGCACAGCTGTCTGTAACGCCTGTTCCAGGGGATCCAACACCCTCACATAGACATACATGCTAAGATTAAAAATAAGCCAAAAAGATGTAACACAGCCCAGGTTGGCCTTAAAGCTGCTATGCAGCTGGGGTCACTGGTGTGTGCCATGCCTGACCTAGAATATCTTTGACTTTAAACATTTATTATGCTATGGTTTTATTCCATGTAGGGGTGTGTATGGTAAGGCAGAGGTGTGGGTGCCCTGGAGCTGGAGTTACAGGGTTGTTGTGGGTTCAGGAACAGCTGCACACTGAGCACTTGGACACCAGACTCAGACTGATGGAAGTTTTCCGAATGCTGAACAAAGACTGGCCATTCAGGGTCATAATCTGTACTCAGGAGCCAGACTATGAAGCTGGTCTGTTTCTAAGGCAAGTTTTTTATACAAAAAAAACCCATAACTGTAACCAGGTAACAACAGCCAGGTGACCAGGTGTAGGAAGTGGGGGGGGGCAGCATTACATCAGTTTGACCAGCTAAACGTAACTGATACTGTTCCAAGGGTGTTCTGTTGTATCTAGGTGGCTAGACAAAACACTTCAAGCTGATTGGCTGGGATTTAGGATGGCGGAACTCTTGGGGCTTTCCAGCTCTGGGAGTAAAGAACATAGCAGGATGTAGTGATTTTACCTCTAACAACATGCATGTATTTTTAATTCAAACAGAACATGCATTTATCATCTATTGCTTTATTCTAAGCAACAAACATTGAAGTATTGAATTGTATCCTGTGCTCAAGAATGTAGAGCCTGGGAACTTGAACTTTATTTTACCTCATACTCAAGATGGTGACTGGGAGGTAAAACGGCCTCTGATATGCTAACGGCGACATCGGGTGTTAACAGAGGAGCCATAGTTGGTAAGAACTGAAGTGGGTCTCCACAGAGGGGCTGTCACAGGTTACAACACTGTGAGCCTCCTGGGCTCTGGGAACTGGGGGGCTCTGGGAGAGCAGCTGCTGAGCCTGCCTCTACAAACGTTAAGCTAGTATTTGTTTTATGCTTTCTTTTTTCCTTTTGAACTGGGCATGGTGTGCAGGCCTGTAATACCAGGATTTGAGAAGCAGAGGCAGGAGGACCTGCTACACACAGTTCAAATACCCACTAAAAACGACTGTGCTCTTCCGAATTAAATTATGATTATGATAACTAGCGTTATCATAACACTAGTGGATGTTATAGAGTGACATGATGGGACAGATCTTACTGTGAGGTTTATTAAGGGAAGGGATACAGGGTGACCTCTGGGTGAGGGTGGAGGGAAAGAGACAGGCTCTTTTAGAAGGTGGTGTAGCGCATGCGCAGGGGACAGTGGGACTGCGTCCTGTCCCCTAGGCTAGGGATGACGTAACCTGCTGTTGCTGAGTCCCCGGAGCTGGCTGTGGAGGTGCGAACAATATGTACACAAATGACTTAAAAATCCCCATGTCTCTTTCACATGTCGGCAAACAACTGTAAATGTTTGAAAAAGAGTATAGTTTATCATGGGTCGGTGCTGAGCCAGGCTCTGGTTTTAAAGCCCACCTCAAACCCAAGATCCCCCAGCCGTGGCTTTCCGTGTGGTAGGGGTGCAGGCACCCGCTCCACCAGCTGAAGACAGGTAGCTAGGAATGAATCCATAGCCCATTCCTGTTTGGTGTGTTGGGATTACACAAACGAGCAAAGAAACTGCAGTAAACCCAAGCTAAAAAGTGTTTGGGGTCGGGTTGTAAATGAATATGCATTTATGAGAATTTATCGTCTTCTGCCAAAAGCTGGTGAACCCAAATAAATGTTAAGAAAACACAGAACGTATCCTTAGCCTTGGGCATTTTGTATGAAAGTAAGTCCTTAGAAGGTAGACCTTTCTAGATTCTGCCCTTTGAAATACGCAAAACACACTCTTGACCTTCGCCAAGGCACTAAAGCGTCGTCCGTCTTCCAATAAGATAGTGCTGGATTTGCAACCCCGCATTTGCAGCATACCGAGATCTGGAGTCGATAAAAGCTGGACTTTTACAAGGACACCTGGAGTTAACAGGAGCTTTATCAGGGCTAATCTTCATTCCGGCACGGAACGGCCTGCGCCCTCTGCTGCCCGCTTGCTCCCATGGCCATCAGTTCCAGGGACAGAAAGCCCAGGGTTCAGGTGTCCAATCGGAGCTCCGCCAGAAACAGCAGAGAGCCAGTGATCATGCCTGCGAATATCCGGAAGGTGGCGCTGCAGGCCAGTCTCTTAATAAAGGGTGCATTGCAGCTTGACCAGAGATACATCCACTTCCGGAGCTAGATATGTGTGTTGTCTTGACTGCATTTTGCTGTTGTTGTTGTTTTGTCTTAAAGCCATGGTCTCACTTTGTAGCCCTGTCTAGCCTCAGATTCACAGAGATCCACCTGCCTCTGCCTCTGCCCTCCGAGCGCTGGGCTTAAAGGAGCGCCATGTCTGGTCCAGCACACTCTTTTAAGAATGTAATGCTGTGCGTGGTGTGTTGGGGCACTGAGGGGCCAGAGGCAGTAGAATCAGAGCTCAAGGTCATCTTCAGCTGCACGGTTCAAGGCTGGGGCTGGCTACATGGGATCCCGAAAGGAAACAGATAGGTTCAATAAATATGTAAATGAAAGAAACAAGACGAACCAACAAAACATAGGTAAGTACAGAAACCCAGATCCTTGATGACCCTGAAGCGGCCTGTCAAATCCTGCGAAGCTCACCCTTGATTCTCACTTATATGGAAGAAAATACATTCTCACATGTGTGAATTATTTTTATTGCTCAAAACTGCTAGCAATCATCAGAGATATTTGGAAAATGGTGCAAATTGATGTGCTTCATGCAAACACCTTTAATTGACTGAAAAGTAATGATGGTGTAGGCTGGAGAGACGGCTCAGAGGCTGAGCGCATTTGCTGCTCTTGCAGAGGACCTGGGTCCAGTCCCCAGAGCCCACACCGTGGCTCACAATCGCCCATGCCTCCAGCCCCAGGGGACCCGATGCCTTCCTCCAGCCTCAGCGGGCACCCGGCATGCGTGAGGTACACAAACACACAAGTGGGCCCTCGCACACACACATAACAACGTTAACCCAGTAACACGGCATCTATGCTGCACTATATTAAGAAAAAGGTTGCACCTTCGCGTGTAAAGCCAGACACTACCCCTCCCTTCCTGTTACCTCTGCGGGCAGAATTCCGAGATCCTGCCATCTTCCAGGGCCAGTGAGCCTGACCGAGTGCGCTCTTTTGAAGAACGTGTAGGTCAGAGATGAGAGGCTGTAGAGCCCGGAAGCTGCAGAAGAGCCATCTCCTCTGACCCCTGAGGAGGGAACCATCTCCTCTGACTCCCTTATGGAGGTCAAGAGGCC